TGCTGCTTTTCATATGGATCTGTAAAATTGTAAAATCTAATTTACCTCTTGATTCTCGATCACCGAAGCATCTTTCCGTAATACGATGTACGGTCAGCGCCTTGTATAAGACAATGGCTCTCGCGGGTACCCTAACCTAATAATGCTATTGTTTCTCCATTTCCATGAGCCAATTTAACGCAGACAACGAGGTAACGCGTATGAGGGACAGGCACGTATACATAAATAGGGGTAGACAAGAGATGGGAGTAGAATAGCTCATCAAGATACCAAATTGCAGTAGCACTCGACTGTACTGCGAAAGGCCTGGAAAGGCAATATCAGCGTGACAGGAAGCGACAAGGCCAGGAGAAATCCTGATTGGTATCTACAATGGTTGTTAAGTTCTTGACGATGGAAGTGGAGTGGTCGCGAGTCGCACTAGGGAGCCGGAGGAAAGAAGACGTGCTTGAGCGAGGCTCGAGTTTCAGAAGACGGTAGCAAGTATTGGGAAATGAAGTAATGTCGATGAGAAGAGCAAACTACGAAGCGAGCATGATGGGGAGAGCACAGGGAACAAAGACGGCGAGGGCGAAAAGTTAGATCGTCGACAAGTACGCGAGAGAAAGATAGCCTTGAACGCGTGCAAATTGCGATTTACTCTTCAATGAATTTTCGCCTATGATCATGGCAATGGCACACATAAAACACTGAGAGGCAGTACATCGATATCAATTGAACGACCAATATCCACTTTCATATAGCCCCGTCGAGCAATCGACGTAAAAAGAGATGGGAATAAAATAAGATAGTGAAGTAGATAAATAAGAGGGTGAGAGAGAGAGAGAGAGAGAGAGAGAGAGAGAGAGAGGTAAGCTACACGAGCACGAAGTGGTAAAGAATCGCCATTTTGAAAAAGAAAAGTCATCCTTATCTGATACACTATATACGACTAACATAACCTGCTAAAAAATAAAGTTTTGTAAGTTATGATGGGAACAGCGTAATCGAGAAAAAAAGGTAGGCAAGAAAGGAATGGTTAATGAGATATAAAACAGCCTATAATAAAGTCCAAACAAAATATAAAAAAATGCTGCGTACATTCATTGGATGTCGTAGAAAGCTTTGTTTGATTAATATAAAAATAGATAAATGGAGGGAGGGCGAGGGAGATATTCTTACGCGTCATTACGAACGAGAGGATAATAACATCCATTACTCAGTAAAAGACCAAGGTGAGAGATTCGCGTGATATTAGTAGTGAACTACTAAACAAGAATTTTCTCTTATCAAAAAAGCCGATCGTGCACATACCATGAAATGTCCTCGTTGGGGATTTTATCGAGTGCAAAGCCGGTACGCGTACCCCAGACTTTCTTATGTTAAATCAATAAGTATACATCTACGCTCGTAATTGTATTTATCTCATCTCATAGTTTAAGGATTGAAATGCATTTGTAATCAATATTAATTAACAAATATCATAAAATTCATTGAAGTTTGACTCCCATAAGCGTGAAATGTCAAATAAATAAGAATAGCTATATAAACGATTTAATTAGTTAATACAAATTTCATGTATTGGAATTAAATTCCGAATAGAATTATTTTTTTAGAAAAGAATAACAAATTCAAATAAACAAATGACAAGTACTAAACAAATACTAATTCTACGTGGAATTATTAAAATTAATTATTATACAATCATTGAACAATATTATTATACAAAATAAATTATAAAATAAGACTTTCATAAATATTGCAAGAGGATATTATAAATATTATTGCGTACATACAATTATGGACTAGATAGAAAATGTATTCTATAAAACACGATTTTTGTGGAAAAAATGATGAAAGGAAAATTGACGATAATAATTATCGGTCCTTTTAATCCATACAAAAACTTGTATGATTTTCGTAATTCTAAAAAAGAAATTCATCTTATTTTATAAATTAATAAAAGTAGTAAAAAATTTACTGGAGCATTTTTATAAAAAAAAAAAAATCACCAGTCGCTGAAATTTTGCTCTCCCTTTACGAGGAATGATTACCCCCCATCTTATAATAAACCTATATGGACTTCTTTAGTATTTTCCAGCTCTTATACCTGCCAACTCGCACTCGTCTTTTATCCATACAAATGCGAATGAAGAGAAAGAGGTACACGCGCATGACTTACATTACGCCCCTTTCAAAGGGCTAAATAGAAAGTGCTCTCTCTCTCTCTCTCTCTCTCTCTCTCTTACTTAACCGACAGTATTATTTAGCCGTTATTCTGCACCTTGGGAACGTGACACCTTGTCACGACATACTTTCTGGACCTCATTGGACGCATCCCGTCCGCGCCGAGGTCAACGTCACTCTACTAACATGCACCCCAAGGCTCTTTCTTCTCTTAGTTTCTCATGAACGAGTATCTTATAACGAACATCCGCCTCCCCTCCCTGGAAGTAGGCATCGTCAACAGCAGGTAGACGACAACGACATGTAAATACTTCATTCTTCTCTCATTTGGTTAGTCACCGTACCAATATCAAAGCAACTTTTATGATAGACAATTGGAATATAAGATTATAGGGATAATCTCGTGCGGTACTGATTTGATAATTTTTTAACAAATTTCTAGGGTTTTTAACAAATCGCAAGCTTATATATTTACGTGACTCTGTTGAGAAGATGAAAGGCGGGAAGGGGAAAGAGAAAGGCACTCGAAAAATGAGAACAATGAACAGAAAATGATGGAGTTGCAGAAACGTGCGAGATAACTACTCGAGTCGAGAATAGCGCTGTTTAGCCTTTTATTAAGCAGTAAAAGTAAAAACGCGACTTCTGTTCATTTGATTAGAAGAGTAGCAAGGGAAAATGGGAGGTGAGAAGTAACTGACGATTGCTAGGGTCTTGGGAGAACGAAGTGACGCGTCGATTTTTCATTCAACTTTTTCTTCTTCATCTAAAGCAATTTTTCACTTGGTCGATACACCCCTTTTTCTGTAAAAAATTGTTTCATCGATGTCACGACGCAAAAAGTGGGCAATTGCTAGGTAGTGCAAATGAGTGAGTAGCTCACACTAACAGAAATAGAGGAAAGCGTAGAAAAAAGAAAACAGAGAGAGAGAGAGAGAGAGCAGAGAGAGCAGAGAAATAAAGGAAGGAAAAGAAGTGGAGCACGAGTGTTGACCATGTCGTAGACTTTCTTTTCTTTGGCCTAGGGTGGAAAAAACGAAATTTACTATGCCGGGGGAAGATTAGAACGATAACTTGTAATTGAGTGTTGGTGTACGGAAGTAAACGAGCCCTACACTAGCGCAAAAAAAACGTTGCCTCCTACTACTAAGGCAAAGGCAAAGAACCTAATCGGAATAAAATATCTCGTATCTTTTTATATGCAGTCTCGCAGTTTCAATATAATTTGGTAGTGTCTTTCCTCTCATTTTCTTATCGTTAAGCAATTTTTGCTCCTATCGATGGTGAATTTTGGTGCCAATCTAAGGGGTAAGTAGACCTAAAGTAAATCAAAAAAGTTTGATTTTGAAGCAGATCAAAAAGTATATATATACTGAAAAAAAAATTAAATTCAGCGCCCAGAAATTATTTAACTAGATGTAGTTAAGTTTTTGTGCGATCTTTCATCAAATTTAGAATGGCTTTTCAAAAATTACTAATTGTGACGGTGACGATTGTTGTTTTATCACGATTGTCCTAATAATTAGAATATAGTATTAATATTGAATAATATTAAATAATTTAAAATTAATTATAAATTTATAACCGACTACAAATTTTAATTAAAATTATATATAATATACGTGTTGGGCCAAATTAGCTTATAGAAAATATATTTCAGTATAAAATATATAGGAGTTATCTAGAATTCAAAGAGAAAATCGACTATGAAAATTAATATTCTTCAAGCATATTTTAATGAGCCTAAGCTCCAAAGGTGAAATCTTTTTCATTAAAAGTTAATTTCAGTATTAAAAATAATAATGATAATAAAATAATAACCTGGAGATAAAGAAGAAACCAGGAATTAACATACATACATATAAATTAGTTCGGTCCCACCAGCATATAATAAAAATCTTATAGGAATAATTAAGGATAAAATTGTATGTTATATTCTATAAATTAATATGCTAGATATTTATAGGATAATAATATTTTTAGAAAAATACTTATTTTTAATAAGTTTTATCTTATTTTACAAGCCCGTAATAAGAAAAATATGAAAATGTTGTCACTGTTTAAATCCTTAACCGTCTAATTAAATGATCAGTTTGTACAATTTTTTAAAGAATTTTGGAATTTTATAATCATTAATATGGGCCATTGATGCATTTTCAATAAAAAAAACAATTTCCATAAACCATAACATTTGTCCTGACCATTTTAGAATTAATCAATTATGTTTGATAATTTGTATAGAATAGATTGCACATAAAAGTCATATGGATATTAAAAAAGACTTAACATAGTAATTTACGATTGCAATTTTTCGACTAACTATCAAATACGGATTAAATCCATACTGCAATTTTTCTTGTAAATGACTAAAAAACAAAAAAAAAAGGTGGCGGGGGAAAGGGGACACAAAATCAACGTAAAAAGAATACACAAAGAAAGTGTCGAAATTCTTTTTCCGTTTTCATTAAAAGCATTTTTACTCGCAATACGTTAGCTTCCTGATCTTCATTTATGTCAATAAAAATGTCTCTTGTAACATATTAATAATATTAATCACGTTCAGCTTGGGATACATTCCTTTCTTATATATTATCTTGCCGTATGTTATTCCAAAAAACAAAGGTGACAATATAAAGCCGTAATCTCTTGGCTAAATCAGCACAAATATTGACAGAATGACGAACGAACAAGGAATAAATGAAATGCATTGTTAATAATAATATTTGCTCGCTTAACGTGCTGTCGAGTAATTTATCATGCGGAAAAATTCTTCCAAATAACGAAATGCACTCGCCAAAGTTTCAACAATGTTTAATTAAATTTCAAATACGTACCGTCCGTGCCGTTACGGCCAGGTGCTCCAGGAGTGCCATTCAATCCTGGCTTACCATCTTTCCCTGGTACGCCATCGTTCCCGCTGCGTCCAGGAAGTCCATCCAATCCAGGCTCTCCAGGAATACCTACAAAAGACAATGAACGCTTAATAACATCGGAATACTCGCCTCCCCGTCCACCTCCCCTCACTATCACTCTTCTCCATCCGTCGATTCTCATCTCGACAGCGACGTAGCGTCATCGTCACGGAAATGAAGGTACTTAGAGCGGCCGTTAATTAACACGAACACATTATCTAAAGAGCCAATCGGTGCTATTGAGACAATATCAAAGCGACCAATATGGAGATAATGTGCATAGTGTTTCTTAAAAGCGAAAAGAAAATCTTCAATGGGCTGTGTATTGAAATGTATTGAAGCCGTTGAAGCACGAATTTTGTATTTAGCGTTAACGGACGGACACTTATAATATTTTATATGCTTATTATGCTCATATAAAATATATCTCCAATCAATTACAACAGGAATTCTAATGCGAAATAATAATTTTTTCGATAAAAACTAATTATCAAGCTTGCTGATGGTTACAATATTAAACCATTTACACATACTTGAATTGGAGTATAATTAATTTTTTTTTTAATTTTCTTCGCGATTCAAAGCAGTACAGACTAACGAGCAGCCAAGAATAATCTAAAAATCCATTATTTTCTACGCTCTCCTATTTTATTTTTATATCTAATAATAATATCGAATGACTTTTTCATTATGATCGGAATCCACTGGCATTGAATTATAATGATATTTATTTCTTATTTGAAAATCATTAAATATGATCGACTTATTCATATAATCACTCGATACATTCTTACCTTATTATAAACTTTAATTAAAATAATATTAGTTTCTAACTAATTATTGCAAATTACTAAGCACATAGTACCTATTACTTTAAAATTCTTATTGAAGTCTGGCTAAGAAAACTTTTATTATCGATGATAAATTTTTTATACATTAATAGAACAAAATTTCTATTGTAAAAAAAAATATTTTAAAATTATTCAGAAATATTAGTTTTTATAATAAAAAGATGTATAATTAAAGAAAACCGAAAAAGTTGTTTAGTATTTCGGAAGCGGCTTTGCCCACTGTAAGTCGATATTATTCGGGTGGTTTGCTGGTATTCTCTAATTAATTATTTGGAAATCATTGAGATATTGCAGTTAGATCTGAAACTATTCATTTTGAATTCAGCGAGTATTAGTATTTCTGTACATTTCGAAACTTTATCTCTATTATATTTCGTGGAAACCTCTTATTCATTATTATATACTTCTGTTTCATAATTATCGAGAAGTATTTACTTTATCATTTATATGAAATGAAATAATAATATTCTTCGATCTATGAATAATTTAAACGTACTTAATTCGAAATATTATTTTATAAAAATCTAATTATTCTTTATACAAAACATCAGCTTGTATAAATATTTTATATACAATCCAATAAATTTTCAAGTACAAAGATCCAAAGATCATAATCTCATAATAATATAAGAAATAAAATACACGCGTACACCATGAAACTATGACTTAATGAAAGGTATCATCTTATGATACAAATTTTATAAACATTACTTTTCAACTCTAAATGGATATATACAATCGCTATAAACACGAATACTCAATCTTATTAATTCTGGACGATATTTAATATTAAAAAAAAAAAAAAAATACACACAGTTTAATAATCCTCCCAAGCATTGATTATCTATTTTGTCAGTTAGATATATTATCATAAGCGATAAAATTAAGTATTAATTGTTTTGTACCAAGTCACAATGTCAATAATCTAGCTCCCATAATTTTGGTAAATATATTGAAATAGCCAATAAATGATAATGTTCAAAATAATTACCGTCAACCCCATCGAGCCCTGGTTCTCCCCTGGGTCCTATGGGTCCTGGCGGTCCTCTTGGTCCTGGCATTCCGGGTCCTCCTTGGATACCCGGTAAACCGTGGTCGCCCTTTGAACCAGGAGGTCCACTTATTCCAGGTAGTCCAGGCAATCCTGGTGGGCAAAACTCGCTGGACTTACGACAGAATGTCTCGATAGCGTCATACTATATTTTGAAGAAAATTAAATATCAATTTATTAATATAAATTTAAAAAAAATGCTTATAAATATTTCATAATTAATTTTTAATATAGTAAAATTATTTTTAAAGATATGCAACCGTATATCGAATAATTTGTAGGTGGTCATAATAAAATCTTTTAAGTTCCTAGTAACTTAAAAAATCAGTATAATTTTAATAATAATACAAAATATTAATTTTATAAAAATTGAATTAATTTTCTACATTATTATGAACGGGATAAATTCATTTCTCTCTTATCATTATCGTAAATGATTTCTAATTTCTTATTTTACTAAACTATTTCCCTTATAACTTAAAAGTAAACAAATTCATTATACATATGTTTCAATATCTCGAATCTTATCATTTTATCGATGATTCGATTTAATATTTAAATTATTTGATTAATTTATCTTCAATTTGTACTAATTAATTAGCCTTCCAAACTTAACCGATAACCGATGTAGTCCTCTTGACATCTTCATATCATATTAAAAATCGAGATCAATTTGCACAGCCTCTCTTACTTTTGATAATACTGCTTTCGTCTTTTCATGTATTTACACTGTGAAAGATTCGAGCATTAGATACGTATATGTATGTGTGCGTGTGTGTGCGCGCGCGTATATATATAAAATATATATGTATATGTATGTATATATAACGAGCCAGTGGGTGAAGTGGAAAAAGGGACGTGAGAGTGAAAGAGAGAAAGATAGATTAAGGGCAAGCTAGAGACGACAAGTAAGTAGATTAACTGTCATATCTAATTTAATTAGAAATATTGTTGTACATGCGAAACTTAATTTACGGTACAATTATTTGATAAGATAATGACATAATTACACCTTTACATTATACCGTCAATTAATGTTTCATAAAGTAAAAAATATGAACAGTATAAAACTATAAAGACATACATAAATATAAATATAAAAATGTATGAGGTATATGAAAAATATTAAGTTTTAAGAAAGTTTTACAAAATGCAGATCTTTAATAAACCTTTATTATCTTAGTGAAATGAAGAAAGGGAATAATTTAAAATGATTAAAAACATAATTTCATAAAATGTTTAAGTATAAAATTAATAAATGTTATTGACTTCATTGCTGGCTATCGTTATTATTATTGTATATTTTCTTAAATAATAAGATACCATTGTATAAATTATTAATTATTCCTAAATATAATTACGTAATAGAATTTAAGACACGTATTTTGATAAGTTACATTGAATCTTCTAAAACAAGACTCAACATATTGTAGTATTGCATATATAGTTTATAATGTACTGTTAAATAAAATTTATTCACAGCCTATGAACATATATAACTTTTAATATATAAAATAAATATTGAAGATTACTGCAATATGAAAATATTTATTACTTAAATTAAATTTGAAAGGAATCAGTTTGGAAGAGTAATAAAATGAATACATTGAAGATTTTTTCGAAAGTATTATATTAACTTTGTATTATAGATTCAAATTAAGAGAGAAAAAATTAAATAAAAATCTTAATTATAACATATAAATTGATTCGACGCTTATTCCTTCGATTATTTAACTATATTTTATATGTTTATATTAAATAATGTTTAAGTACATTCCAAAAAATGATATTTTATTTTGAAAATATATGTCTTCTAATCAATATATTAAATTCGATTTGACGAAGAGAATTAATAGGAAGAACAAATATAAAAGAATCTTATTAGTGTATTATATTTAATTCGAATTAATAATAAGGAATAATATGCATTTAATCAATAGTAAATATTAAAATTATTTTCCATAAATTAAAGAATGTTTTTGATAATTTTGCAGATCCAATAAGAGCAATACTATATAACTTTAACTATATTTATTGACGCTTGATAATATTATTTACTATTATTCTTCATCTCAGAAATATAAACGATTCTCTTAGCTTATACTATCTTTACATACTATCACTTTAATAACATTAGTCATAGATATTTTCGACTTTATTAAAAATAATTGTATATATTGAGGCAGAGGAATATGTGGAATAGATCGAAATTAAATTTTAAAATAAAAATTCATTCAATCCGGGTATGTTATGTCAAAGATGAATAGATACGAACGAAGAAGTCGATGCGCTAACGATAATACAAATAACTCCTGAGCCACGCACCCCGATCTCTTTAACGATACTTCCTTATATCTTACAATAAGGTCTTTCGTTATCCTCTTCGTAACCTGGGGACCGAACTGCATTAAATTTATTTTCAATAGCTTACTGCCTCTCAGTCCTCAGACTCGTCACGAAAGTATCGACTTCATTATTCTATTACGCCAATTTAACAATTATAGTTTTCAGATTATTTAATCAATATATTTGAATTCTTAAATATAGGAGCGACTTTATAATATAAGATAAATTTTCCTTTCACTCTGTTAAATGTTTAATCGACAGGAGTACAGAAATTATTTTACTTAGGGCCGACATGTATAACACCTATAACAAGTACTTCTACCGTTGACTTTTATTTATTCACCCTTATGATTCTGTAGTACTTAAATGTAAAAGTACTTTGCTACTACTACGAGGTTGCCGTGGTTGACGTTTTTTTTTTTTTTTATAAAAATTAAATAAATTTTTGTAGTTTCCGAAATATAAGTAAGATGAGACTACAAAATTCAAAAGCATTAATCAATATATGATACATGCATCTTCATTATTATTATTTTTTAAATATACTCCAAAGTTCTAAATATCAAAACTAATATATATTTAACTAAAAAAAGGTGATTGAATTAAAAGAATAAAAAAAATAAAAAAGATAGTTTTTGAAAAATACCATTGATATAATCATTTAATTTTTAACGAATAAATAAATTCCATAGGCAGTCAAAAACCTCATAGAATAAAATATTAATAAAAGAAACAAAGTCCAGTTAAACAAGTCTATTTTCATAAAACAATTTATATATATATATATATATATATCATTATGAATTGTTTAAATTATAATTATAATTAATGAATTGGTATTAATACATTTCTATTTATGTTAATATAACGAATTTACTTAGATGTTTTATTATACAAAAATATTATATTTTTTAAATGCTTAATTACTCAAGATTTTATTAATAATTTTACTTGTAATTTCTGATGAATATGTATTCATTGCACCACCTCTAAAAGGTATTCATTAAACTGGACATTATAATGTTTCAAGATTTGTAAATAAAATATTAAGGAAATGCTTTTAATTAAAATATTATGCTTTATAAATCTGAAGAATAACAAAACTTTTTTATAATTAGTCATTTCTATTATGACTGAAATGTTATATTTTCTATTGAATATGTAATCAATTCATTGATAAACTAAAGAAACGACTTTTTAGTAAATAAAATTTAACAGAAGCTTTTGTGGAACGTACGTATAGTTCATTTGTTATTTGTGTCAAATTGGTAAAATTAAATTATTATTTTAAATTTGACATTTCAGTTTGATGAAACTGGGTCTATCAATAGGATTGATTTTAATGACTTAAAAATCATGGCTAAAATATGATATTCATGAAATACTCTTGTAAATAGTTTATAATAAAAAAATCTAAAGTCGTTTCATTGTATTTGATTCATTTATCAAACTTTCAGTATCTACACGAAACATTTATTCATTAACATTTCCTAGAACTTTCCGAAAGTTTTAAGTAAATTGATCGATTAAATTAAAAGAAAACTTTGAGCTAATGATTCGCGATGAAAGGGAATATTCAAAATACACACTGTAAAACAGTTTTTAAACTTGTTTCTTTAGTCTTGTTTCCAATTGTTTTATAAGGTCTAGTAACATTAAAAAACTCATATTTTTTAATTTGTTATTTCATTCTATATTATAAGTTTTCGTGAATACTTGCGCAGTATTGTATCGGGAAAGAAAGAGATTATTTAATATGGATAACTATATTTATTTAGAAAGATATCCAATATGTTACGATTATTCGGCTAATACAAATATTGAAGTAATATTATTTGATATATGTATCCGATAACTCAAATCGATAAATTATCGACAATACATCTAAGAAAGCACAGTAAAATCTAATTAGTTTTTTGTTACGATATTACAGATTCGTTATTAGAATTGAATTTTTTTTGTACTGTTTTTAAAAATGGAATATCATTAAATAAAATACATCGAATATTTAAATTATTTAAATAAATGAGATAAAAAAAATGTAAAAAAATAATAATTTCATTTAATAAATATTCAAATCAAAATTGGATTTACTCGGCAAAGTTAAATTGTAATAATATACCTCCCGCTCCTCTATGATAATTAATAAATATTCGTTGCAAAGATATATAAATTTTTTCTTTATATTTATTTATGTATTTATAGTGAAACTATCAAATACTTCTTTCTCGTTATTTGTTAATATTTTTTAAATTTTCATTAAAAACTTGAAAAATATAAAGAATAAAGAAATTTCGTTACAAAATTTTTTGGTTGCAAAATTTATTTCAGTAGAGTTAAAACTTTCGTTTAAACAAGTTATATTCAATTATTTACAAACATTTTACTATTCAATAAAATTTAAATTAAATTGAAACTATTTATAATTATGTAAATTATTTTAGTCTGCAGAAAAATATATTCTCAAATAATACAAATCTGTTAGGCAAACACTGTATTAAACATCGAAATGGGCTTTAGTGATATTGTTATCTAATAATGTAGTTATTACAATTACCTGCAAATTTATTTCATTAAAAATTATACTTAGTAAAAAGAGCTGTAATAGATAAAACAATTTGCACATAACGAAATTAATTAAATTAATAAAATAACAGAAGCTATTGCAAATCCCATATTGTCAACAGTGATATTGTTAAGATACGTTATTTTAATAATTAATTAATAGATATTCTTATATTACTGCATGTATAATGATTATTTTTAAAAGAAATACAATAAAAAATTTTATAATTAAAAGCTATCGCTATTATATTTCATTGGTAAACTGAAATTTGAGTTAATATATTAAATCATATTGCTATTAATAAACTGTACTTTTAAATAATGAATCCCATATAATTTAACGTTATTTCCAATACATAAAAATTTAAAGTGTATAAAATGAAGAAGAAGAAAATTTATAAATAAATATTGATATCATCTTTGTCTTTCTATTTCGTAATGTATTTTGGTTTTAATTATATCAAAAATTCCGCTATTATTAATGATATTTACTATCACTTACATACTATCAATAGTTGATGATATTACAGATATCAAATTTTAATTAGAATTAATTCGAATTGATCATTAGATTAAAGCTAAAAGTAGACAGGCAAATTAAAAGAAATCGAAGGTGTAAAAATAATTACCAGCTAGAAAGACAGATTGACAATATCTGAAAATGAATTAATAAAATACGTTCTTTATTATAACTAATATTTATTAGACTAATCCAACATCATTCTATGAAATATTTCTTACGGGTATAGATTTTAAGAGACATTGAATATTTTAGACGCATCGTTAGATCAAATTGGAAGTGCTTGTATGATGGGAAAAGTTAGCTTGACGGAACGAGATGATAATGCGAAAAAGCTGCAACTTTTGTTTTACGTTGCAAAGTCTGCTAGATATATATTATATTATATAATAAGGATTATAGATTATATGAACAAAATTATTGAATACTGCTTCGAAAATTTCTTACATGTTACGCATAATGAATAAAACCGTAAAAATTATTTGGAAACATATTGACAAAGAAGTCAAAAATGTTTGAGTTACATATATTTTCTTCATTACGATTTTTCATAATTCAAATAAAAAAAAAACGCATGTAATTTCTGCCATTTGAGTTAGAAAGAATAAATAATGATATATGCTAAGTTCATATAAGTGAAAAAATTGCTTAATTAATAAAAGTACTAATTAAAAAATAAAAATGTAAATATAAAAATTTTTTGATGTTAAAATACGAACTAAAAAGTGAAATTAATTTTTTCATAAAAAGCTTATAAATATTTTTAATCACATGTTTTTATATAAATCTATTATATTATAATTATTTAAAAGAAAAACTGAAAATAATTTACAAATTGTTTTCAACAATCAGTTAATAACTGAAAATTCAGAAAACTGCAATAAAAATTTAATTTACATCCAACTATTTTTCTCATTTTTTCTCTGTGCCACCTGCTAAGATTATAGAAATATTTGTTCTCTCGTAGTGAAGCAAATCTGTCAAAATATCCTATAATATGTAAGCCAAAATCACCTACACAACTTTACAAATTTAACAGTTCGATAAAGACAAAACGTGTAGACTTTATCCAAAAATCTTTCCACGTCTCATTTATCATCTCGTCTATACAAACGCGTATGCACGGGTGCGTATACACATGCATACACTCATATATATATATATATATATATATATATATATATACATATATAACTAATATGAATTTTATTTAATCACATTTCTGCCATTTAATATAGATAAAAACAAATAAATTTGTTCTGTTTTTGATTTATAAATACTCTGAAACATCTTTATCTTAATTAATAGAAATTATTTTAAAAATTACCGATACCATAAATGATGAGTAATAAGTTACAAAATCAATTTAACTATTTATGCACCGTTTAATATGTTAACGCAATAATGAAATTCTTTTACCAGTAAAAGAAGTGTTAAGTAATTTGTTTGAAATTCATTGTCCCGTATTAAAGAACTTTCGTTTAGAAAACATGAAAAAGAAGTCTCGTGAAATGAAGGAGAAGCAGTTTTCAAATAGATGAAAACGATTTTTCATTGCATGTATTGTACATTCACAACACTGACTATCACATACTGCTAAAGTATCGCAAGACCCAATGCGTAAGTCAGCACTTTTAATTCTATAGGAATGTGCTTGGATCTTTATTGGCTCATTCACATTCTAGATACGCCGTCATTTCATACTTATTACATAATGATTTTCAACTAATTTATTGTTTAACCTATCCGTTCGAAAATATATAAAATTCACAAAATTATAACTTCTGCAGTCATTCGTTAGTATTTCATATATTTATTATAGGATGCATTTTTTGTATAATGTTTCTGAAGAGAGTAACAGCATATAGTTAATCAATACTCTAGTAGAATTTTCAATTATTGCTATATTTCTTTAAATAATCCAAAACGATATATAATATTATATTTATCAATGTCTTTTCATTTAAATTCAAAATAGAACAAAAATTGATTGAAAGAATAACGAGCAATTCCTACAATTTCTCTAGTCATTGGGAGTCAATGAATCTGTCAATGAATGTAAACTCATGTGATTTGCGGCACTACAATAATTAATATTCAAGTTATGCCTTCGTAGTCTTTCGAAATATTCAAAATCAATCCATATATAAAGAAAAATCTTATAGAGACATACAGAGAGATACAGAGAGAGAGAGAGAGAGAGAGAGAGAGAGAGAGAGAGAGAAATGATGGAAGTAGGTGGCATAGAAAGAAAGCGAGAGCATTAAAAGTGATATGTACAGAGAGAGAAAAATAGACATGACAAACACGGCTGTATGCTACAAGCCCCATATTCCCCTTTTATGTTGAACCTCGCAAACGCAAGATCCAAGAAAGTGTCAGTCTGGGCATAATAAAAAAAGAAAGTTTTTTTTTTGAAAAATGGATTTGGATGGAAAAAAACAAAGATATGGGATTATTTATACGTTTATTATATTTATAATATAAATATAAATAAAAATTTTAAATATATTATATAAAAATTAGAAGTAATATAAATTGAATGAACTAATAATTTATCTATTAAGACAAATATAAGAAACTTTTCATTATTAATGTTCAATAATAACTTATATATATATATATATATATATATATATATATATATGTATGCTAATTAATATTAAACACGTATTATTGATTTAATTATATTATATTTGTTTGTATTTAATAAATATATCTACGGCATTTATTTATTTATTGAATGTATTATTGAATTAATCAAATATATTGTTTCCAAATAATAATAATAAATTTACAATATTTTCTTCAGAAATAAGAATCAACATGCTGTATTTTATTGTATTTACATTAATAGTTAAATATTATAAATATTATATAAACATTAACTTAATCTTAATTGAAAATGAAAAACTTGATTAGAATCTATGGAATATGGGCGTGAATTTTAATTTTTATATGATATAATTTTTTAGAATTATTTTTAAAATTATATTTTCTCACTTTTTTCTCAATAAAAATTAGGTAAATTGAAGACATTCAAATCATTCAGCAATAAATATCTTTTACGAATATCATAAAAGTGATTGTGTTTCAAATGATGTTGTATTAATTAAGGAGCGTAAATCAATCAATTATGAACTGAAATAAAATACAATAATATATTTCAATAGAATTTTTTTATTCGCATTAAATTATTATACTTAAAATTTTAAAAAATAATCCTTCTTTCAGAATTATGAATTGTCAATAAAAGTTAAGTATGATATAAAATTCGAAAAAAAGAAAATTCATAGTTTTATCTGGATGAGTGATCTAGTAGAACAGAGAAATAAAATAAAGTTAGAATCGATTTTTGTAACAAAAGAATTTTTCTTTGTTCTTCATTGTTTTTGACATTATCATAAAAGCACTATTACTACGAATTTCTGAAACAAGATACATTGAAATTACTACCATTACATATTCTAATTTAATAGCAAAAATATTTTACCAAATATTATAATAATTATAATATTATAACAAATATCTTAGATTATTATAAATTAAACGTAAAAAAATTATGTACCTACATTGATACAAACTCAATTTTAACAACAAATAATAAGAAGAAATTAAATAACATCGTGAACAATTGTCTTTTTTTTTCAACTAAAAAATGATCGTATAGAAATTTTATTCTTTAGAATTTCATCTCGTTGAATGATAATGTTTTTGTTTTGAAAATCGACCTTATCGACTAATACTTCACTTTCAAGAAGCACATTAGAGAATTTATCAGTAACGTTCTTGAATGAAAGACATTATCGTCTCTATCTAAAAATTGACAATTATCCAAAAGATATTTCAAGTATAGAGAAAATAATAAGGTCTACTGAAGAAGTTAATAAAATTATTAAATTATGAATATGAATGAGGTACGTCGTTTCAGAAGATTGATCGTGCATTAAAATAACCTAATAATTGACATTCAAATATATAATATAAATATGAAACATGGAATTTATGGGTATTTATGTTTGTCTACATATATCTACATACGAGAGTACTTTGTTCTGGTTACTAATATTTTTAGTTAATAACTACTACTAATATTATTAGTTAATTACTAATATTAGTAATTACTAGATTTGTATCTACATTAATACGAAAAGTATTGATAATTGTAAAACTTGTAAGCTTTTAAATATACTGAAAAATACTCATTAAATACAAGAAAAATCTGTTAAATACTTTCAATTACTTATACCATAAAAAGCTTTTCTATTAAAATGATAATCTTATTGAAGAGCAAAATAATGATAAGTGAATAGTTGATTGAAATCCGTACATAAAATATTCAATGTTATGAAATTTCACTATTCAAATACTTGCAAGTAAAATGAATTTTTGAATCAATTATATGACGATCTACATCTGCTAATAAACATCTCAGCAAAAAAATATAAGAGAATATAGAAAAAATACTTACCGGTATACGCGTATCTGCCGTTACCCACACCCACTCGTCAGCTTTAAATGAATTTTGTTTGGCTTCATTTGAATTATCCTTATCGTCGCGATTCTGTAATATATTAATAATTATCTAGGCGCTTATATTATAAAAATTATTTCAGAAGGCATATTAAAAGGGAAGTTATTAATATTTATACCTGAGTCGAATGACTCTTATATTCAATTGAATTTATTCATTTGAAATCTGAATATTAGATTACATTTAACATAACCCTTGTTAGATCTCATATTATTAAACAAGTTTTTTCTAGTACAAAGGGAAATAATTATTTTTAAGAAAATTAAATTATATCTTACGTAAATGAAAACAGATATATTAATGTAAGGATATTTATTATTGTTAATAAATTATTATAAATTCAAAATAAGAAATTGTTTTTAATCAAATGAAAATAATTATATATTTATAGCCATAAGTTCTTCTCCTTCTTCTTGTTTTTAAATATATAAATTCATTATTACTAATTCTATAAAGTTACTACTAGTTATATATATATATATATATATATATCTTCACACCTTTTATAAATTCTACAACTAATTTTTATCAAATCATAATTAAAATAATATTTTATTTTTACCTTTCATAATAAGATACATTGAATTTGTAAATTTAACCGATCAGTTATCGAAAATTGTATTGGATTTATTTCTAAATATATAAATTTGATATTTAAATGACTTTTTACTAATTTAATAAATTAATTATATTTTTCATAATTCTATAAGCATGCTGTCCAGTTATATTTTAAAATAAGATAATCGAATGATAAGTAACTTCGTAGAATGTATGCAACGGATTTTTAAAAATGTATAAAATTACAACGTAAAATAATTTTATAAAAACACTTAGAGAGTTTTGATTGACCTAATTTCCAAGCCCATTAGTAAAAGGAAAACTCGAGTATTATACCCTTTCATATTATAGTCTATACTATAGTCTATACTAACGAATCTCTATCTAATGTAAGTGGATCGTTTCCGAGTTAAGTTAGACAGTAGGTTTGAATGTACTATTTGCACTGTGATCGTATGAGTCCGTTAAAAGTTTTAATGAGAACCAGTAATCTATTACTAATTAATTAAAATTAAAGCAAGTATGTGATATTATACATGATGCTTTCAATGTTTTCAAATATTAAATTTGTAATAAATTAATTTGATAATAAACTAATGATTCTCAAGCGTTATATTGGCAATTTTATAGAATAAATCAATATACTTTTATAATACCAATATAATCAGTATAAATGTAATATAAATAAAATAGTTAAAAATTTCAAATATATTAGAGTTACCTAATGGAACTTTACATAAAATCTACACTATACAGATTTTATTTCAGATTTCTATATAGTTTCTATCTATGAAATTATTATTGATTTAAATGGAATTGAATTGTAATTAATATTTTATTGAGAATATTGGAATCTATGGACCACCTTTTTTTTATTGTAAGACCGTTAATATTATATTTTTCTATCGTATAGAAAAATAAACTGATGATAAATAAAAATCAACTTAATATGTTGTGTATTTAGAATATTACGCTGGAAAAAGGGTCAACAAAATTTGATAACTTATAATGTTTTTTCTATGTTAATTATTAATAAAGATTGTAATAAAAATATTCAAATAAATATTCTTTTTTATTCTATATATATATATATATATATATATATATATATATATATATATATGAGTATGTAAGGGTAGGGTACTCATATGAATAATTATAAATTCAAATATATATTATATAAATTTGACAACATGTGAAGTAATATCAAGGAATTATATTTGAAAATAATAATAATACCTTTCACCTATTTGAAAATCAATATCAAATACACAATTTCCAAATAATAAATAAATTGTTCTTATAAAATTTTCTCTACTATCTACTTTTCATACTTCTTAATGCTTCTCTTTATTTCACTTTTCTCATTTTCATTATTTCATTTTTTCTCTCTTTATCTTTCTTTATACATTTCGCTTCGCATAAACTCTTATAAACCTATTATCCCTAATTCTAATCATCAGTATAATCTGTGCAACTGTGTTTGGTTCTAATTATCAATAACCAATTATTAATAATAGGCATACAAACGTTTTTGCAACAATTACAATTATTGTAACACTCACTGCGAAATGCCGTCATTCATTTGACATTATTATAAATAAGAAATAGAAAGTTTTTATAACTCGAAACGTTATCAGTTTACCTTGTATTTCATAATTCTCTTAATCTTTACTATTTTTCCTCTCACAAGTGATTCGCAAATAGGAATGTGCGGCTGGCGAGAAAGTAGAAAACTTCCAGAGCGTTATAAATGCGAATTTGCGCTAAGTAATACTACGGTGCTTTCGTAAAATTGGAATTTCAGATTTTCTATGGTTACTATGTATATATACTAAAGGTATCTTAGAACGACTTTATGCGGGAGTTTTATTGGGATTTAGGGTTCCAAGCGAAAGAGAAGAAAAAGGAATGGTACACGTTAGCCATTAATTCAATCAAGAAAGTCAAGAACGCGGCTTTTGTTGAATTAACTGTGCGTATACTATGCAATTTTTTTTTCAAGCCTGCCATAGAAGGAGGAAAAAACGGTTGCTGTTAAAATTTAATTTAGAAAAATTATAAGTTCTAATGAGTTACACGTCTTTGCTGTGGTAGAGGTACGTCAAATTGATTGAAAAATTAACTGAAATTGATTTATTGCGAAATTAATATTATATGAAATTAGTTAAATAGCATAATTACTAAATAAAATCTATACCGACAGGCACGCGTGTGCACAATTTGTATAGAAATGTGTGTATTTCTATGTATTATTAGATTATTTTTTAAATTTATAGATTCTTTATGAGTTATACATATCTCAAATTTTATAATATTGTTTTTGAGATTATTCAAAAGCTTTCATGTAAATAATTTCAATTTCAATGACAATTTTTTAATTATTAATTCCAGGCTTCATACTCATTAAAAAGTTTTCATACAAATTTTTATGAAAATATTAATCAACAAATATTTAATGAATCAAATTAATAATTTAAATTTACGAATTAATTATTATTAATCAATTTTCAATATAATAAATCGAAAACAAATAAATAAAATTGTTGTTGAATTATTTTGGAAATAATTTAAATACATTAATTGATGTATTATCATAATTCATAAATACTAATTTATAAATTTTTATATTCAGAAAATTTGCGCAGAAATTTTATACAACTATTCATTCATTTATAGTAAAATATCATTCTCATATTTTAAAATAAATTAATATCGAATAAATTTTACTTTAAATAAAAATTTAATTATAAAAAACAATGTAAATATTTTTCTTTCATTATTTTTTAAACTGATACATATTTCTGTATACTTTACATTTATAGAATATAGCGAATGTGCGCCTGTGTTTACGTGTGTGTCTGCGTCTGAGCGCGCATCTGTAATACAATATTTATATAATAATATAGGAAAAATTTTCTAATAATACTTATTTTGCATTCTAATAATTTTCATAAAAAATGTTGAATCGATCATTATTCTATTGTGCTACATAAATACTAAAGTAAAATAATATCTAAACTGTAATTGTCTAATCTATTCGAAAATAATTATCATAATCGTTGCAATATACAAATAACATTTTTCAACTATTATACAACAAAGAATTTTCATTAAAACAATATCACATGGAAAATTTTAATTGAGTTGCAAGCGAAAAATATGGTAAAAAAATGAAAGATTTAAAAGCAGTCCGAAAGAATAGAGATAAATCGAATGAAATCGATATAGAATCTTTATAATCTATAATGCATCACTTTAAATTAATTTCGACGAAATACTACTGTGAAGAAATTTATCCTATATATAGGCTATAGTGATCCATTGCTTCAAGCGCAGAACAGTATAATGGTAATGTACGAGTAAAGTTTGTGTACGTTGTTTTCTATTCCTACTCGACAGCATTTCCCCATCCCTTGATTTTCCTCTCTATGAATCTGGGCGCAGTGGTGGTCATAATCTATCTCCTCGCTGTACCCTCTTTAATTTCCTGAACGAGCGTCGCGATAAATTTAAAGCTATAACTCTACACACATTCGCTCCACCAAAGGGTCACCTCGCAAATATTTAATCTCTTCTAGTAAGTGAAAGAGTACAAAATAAAGAATGAGGAGTAGGCAGAGATAGATAGATAGAGGGAGAAAGAGAGAGAGAGAGAGAGAGAGAGAAACGCGAAAATAGTAAGGTGATGAGAGGTGGAGGTTGTTTGATTTATACATAATTCTAATTTCAAGGTAATACATTTTACTGCGTCAATCATCCTGAGGTGAATTTAATACAATGTAATTTAAATCACTTTTTGTCATTAAAATTAGATAAAAAATCTATAATTATATCGTATATATATTTAACTAATAAATAATTTTGAATACTATATAAAACTAATTATTTATAATAAATACTTAAAGTATATAATTTTTTACATATAACATTTTACATATATAACTTAATTTAAATATAAATAAAAGAAGGAATAATTCAATATTGAAATCTAATCTAAATCGGCTTTTACTAGACATAAAATTCTAATTAAAATAGATTGAAAAATATTGATTATTTTACTTGATAAATAACTTTAAAAATATAACTAAATTTTGTTTTGCATTAAAAAACTAATATATCTTATAGCACTGAGAAACATTAATAATGTACTCAATAGAAATAAATATTATGTGAATGTTTTAATTTAATGAATACCATATAGGTAGAAATTATCATAATTCAAATAGATTTTTATAAACTATAAGGAATTATTTGTTATTATTCCGAAAAGATTTCGTATATCCTTCCATATGGTATTCAAATATCTATTTCCGAGAATCTTTTTGAACAAGGCAATGGGAATAAGAAAAAAATTGACAACTGCTTCAGTATAATTAGCATAGTACCCAAGAGAAAAAAACTCACCCTGAATATCTCGGATACAGCATTGTCCTCAGTAGCAGGTAATGCGGTGTTGCGCTTCCGTCTGACATTAGCGATGCTGCTACTACTGCCGATCTCCCGTCCGAATGCACAGTCGCTACGACGTCGAGGTGATACAACGGAATCTAGCATTACTTGCTCAACCCTCGTCACGTATACGTATAGATAGAGAAAGGTAAAAAATTGCGCGAGGAATTGGCCGAATACCAAGTAATATATGAATCTCGTCGACCAATTAGTGGTTGCTTTGCCTTCCATTTCTCAAGTCGTTTTGTCAACACTTTTAACGATTACTTATTTCTAAATTGTTTTATTCAGTGTCGTTCACGGCATGACTTATCCTTTCGTCTCATTGTTCGACAACTCACTGCTTTTTTACACTTTGTGTCGATGTATTCAGATCGTGACATGGCATTCTATAAAAAAAATTAATGAACAAACATTTTCAATTATTCCTTTGTATAACTTTTATTAATTGGAAACATAGAACCAGTAATTTTAATACAACATTAATACATAACCATAAATTATGTAAATATGTTCGTAATTAAAGTTTTTTAAATAATAGTGATAGTATGTATATAAAGTTTTAAGTATCATAAATATAATTTTAATAGAATTAAATAAATGAGTGTATTTTAAACATATATAATTAAAACAATGTATTATTCGATATTTAAATAATGTTTATTTTAATCAACATAATAGTAAGCTGCACTTCAGAAAATAGAGTGTAAATTTGACAATAATAAATTATTAATACAAGTCTTATGATATTTATTAAATTATATTAATGCACAGTCATATTTAATTGTAAATTTAATTTTTTATTGTGACAATAATTATTAAATAGAATTAATGCGGCGTAATAAATATAAAATTTGTATCATAAATAAACAAAAAGAATATCATAAAATATATAAGTAAGATATGCATTTTAAATTCAATTTTTAAGGTTATTAGTATACGCAATACATATATATTGAATTTAGTTTATTGAAAAATGCAGAAAACAAAACAGGAGAAAATCAAAGAAATTTCCATCTAATATAAAATGCTCATACTCTGTTGTGAATATATTCGAAAAATGTATATTGAAATGTTATTATAATATTTCTTTTTAAAATAATATTAAATTCTATTTACCTATTGAATCTTTTTTTTTTTAATTGTACGAGTTTTATATAAATATAAACGTTCCTGTAATGTTTTCGTTAAATTAAATTTTTTCGATTAAGTATAGTACAAGCTTAATTCTAATTATTAAAATATAATATTGTAAGTATTAATTTATATTTATAGATAGTATATAAATCAATTAGATGAATATATAAATATTTACATATAAATTTAATTAAGTAACATGTACTATAATGTACTAAAATTGATTAAAAAATTTATACACGAAATTATCTATAATCTAGCTGTTTCTATAAAGACTGACGTTGAAGGATATAGACGAAAAAACTTACAAGTCCGTAGACAAGAAATTACGTTTCTATTTCGATGTCAAGTAAAAAGAGAAAATTAAAAAAAAAAAAAGGAGCACATCTGAATGGATAGTCTTAAAATGAATATATAAGATAAATAAATAAATCTAAATTGCGTATAATATTATAATAGTTATATTTTTTCTCATCTAATTAAATAAGGACTATTATATTAATATTATGAATTAAAACAAATAAATAATTTAATGTTTAGCATTACATAATAAAACACATCCAAAATTTTAATTAAATTTAGATGAATTTACTGAAAGTATTTACAGTAAAATATATAATTTGCGAATCATGAATGGAAACAGTAACACTAATGTAAAATCTATCAACACGTATATCGACATTCGTTAACCTTCATAATTTCATTGTTGTGTAACATATTATCTAGAGCTAATCATGCACATGTTCATTATCATGTATAACAATAATTTTGATATTATATACATTTGATATAATCTTAACATTAATAATATTAACATTTATATTAATATTGAACAATATTTAGTATTAAAAAATTATCAAAAAGAAAATCCAATTAATTATTTGTATCATTATAAAATAGTAAGTTTTTTAATAATATTATAATTATTATATTATGACATTTCTGCCGATAATAAATTACGTACAGAAAAACTAAAATTTAATTCCATTCATTCAAAACATATTAAAAATAATTTTTGCATATTTTACAATTATCAATGTTCAATTATCATGAAATGTCAATATACAAATATGTGTATGAGTATTGTTAATTTGTTAAAATCTAATTCATCCGAAGTGAAATGCGTTTTCATTGGGAAATAATTTTAATAGTAAAATATGATTGTCTCGAATGAATTTTAAATAGTAAATGATACTTTCATTTTTTTTTTAAATGTACTGAATTGAATCAAAGATATTAATGTTACAAGAAGAAAGATAGTAAAATTATAATTTAAATTTAATTATATTTTAAATACAATATTTATTATACAATATAATCTTTCTATTACTTTGTTAAATAAACGTAATAATTGTAATTAATTTTAATATACGAAATTTACACAATAGCTTTATAGTTAATAAGTAATAATGCAGAATAAGTAAAACTAAGAAAAATTAAATAATTCAGAGACGTTAATGTTATTCATTGTGTTATTTACTTTTTCTATAACATAATAGTTATAAGAAAATAAAACTTAAGCATCTCAAGTACATAACGTCTTGTTTTGTTTTAATGTAATTACTTTACATTATTTTTTTCATATTATATAAGAATATTTGGTGTTTTTTATTAACTATTTCAAACATATTTAATTAATTTTAATTAGTTTTCGAATGTTTGACGATAGAGGAACTTTATATGTTAAAAGTACTTGATTTACTTACAGCCCCTTATCAGTAATAACATACAATGGCTACAGTTTGCGGAAAATGTTCGAATTGTTTAAACTCAACTTCTGCATATGACCATTAAATAACAACTTTATCTTACTGTAATTGAAAATTATAGTATAGCTAGTATGACAAAATTAATTTACAAAAACAATCCAAATATTACAGAGTTAATATTGATTCAAAGGTCTGATAAATTAAATTTAAATTATTAATAATTGTATTGTCCGTTTAGAAAAGAAATATATTTTTATAATTAACAAACGTAATATAACTAATATAATTAGAATCCATGAAATTAAACAAAAAAACGTATTAAGCGATAACGACGAAAACTGTAATAGTTATTTGCTGTGGTCGAGTGCTGACATGTAAAGTAATTGACAAAAAATTAATGAGAATGTGGCGAGTACATTGTATCGTTTGATAACTACTACTAATCTATCAAAAAATATCAATCATCAAACAATAAAACAAATAAACTAGAATAAACTACTTTAACTAGCTGGACTTGCTGACAGAATTCATATTACTATGCGCTAAATCACATGGTAATTCTCTTTGTTTTTATTCAATTGTTCTATTATATCTAACGATGAACAATATTGTGCACGAGTATTCTTCTGGTAACTAAAATGCTCTTAGTCTATGTCTTATTACCAACGCCGCTGCATCTCACGTTGCCTAACCACCTATTAGTTACCTTTTTCCTTTTAAACGAACTCCTCCCCCACCCTCGCCGCGGCTCACCAAATGTTTCCACCCATTTCGTTTGTCTTAGACTTGCATTTCTAAACACAATACCTTCTTTTTCTACGCGCCGTACCATGTGTGAGGGAAGGCTTTACGCATTTTATTGGCCCCTGTCTTTTAGATTCAACTTAAAATTGCTGACTATGTAGGTTCTGTTCCTGAGGAAATAACGTATTTGGTCTACGTTTATCGAAGATAATATTAACGTAACATAGACATTTCGAAGAAATTTTCTGTAACAGCAAACTTTATGAAAATTCTAATGAAAATTTTTTCTCACAATTTACAGAAGTAATACTTGTGCGCACTTCCTAAATACGCAATGTTATCAATTCTATTTTAAGGTCTATTTAAAACAAAAAACAAAAAACAAAAAAAAAAAAAAAACACCATATCGCTTATAAATCTAAATATTTGATATTTCGCATATATTAAGAAATATGGAAAACAAAATTCAAAATATTAAAAGCCGTATATTCTCTATAATTGTACGTTACCAGTTCCACACAATAAACATGAAAGAAAACTAGACTATTACAAAAAAATTTTTTTACTATTAAAAAAACCAAACAAGTAAATATTAAGTCAAACATGGATTTTTCCAGATAATATATGCACACATCGTTTTACTGCATCGTGTATATGTGTATTTGCGTGTTTGTCGGTCGACTCAATATAAGTCTATGTATACAACTGAGCGTAGGTTGAAAATATTGAAAGAAAATGGTGTCATAAACTTAAAAAAAAAAATTTATAATACATACTAATATGCGATGATTAGTATGCAAACAAATATATTTTTATTTGCTGTACGAAGATGAAATTTTTTTTTAATAAACAAAAGCATTTTTCCAAGTTTTATTTTACTATTACTGTTAAACGTAAAAAGTAAATTACCAAAAGAATTTTCCATTTAGTTGAAATATTATTTTTGCGGTGAATTTTACTCATACACGTGTAATTTTGATATTCAATGTAAAATTCAGTATATTCATTTATATGCATGTGAACGAATTTTTAAATTTAAATGAAATAAGCAACAATAATTCTGTACTAAATATAATTTGAAATCTTAGATATACAATTTTGAATGAAGCTGGCTGAAATAACAAGATGCAATCTATAATTAATAATAATTTTCAAAATATTTATCAACTATAACGTAAGCATGAATTTTTATATAAGTATAATTTTATTTCTACAATAAATAAAGTAATATATAAAGTGTTCCTTTTTATTGATATTTACTAATTAACTTTTTAATACTTGAAGATTATAGATTTAAATATAGAATAATATATACTGCTAAAGTGACAATATCAACCAATAATATATGACATTAAAAGTAATAAGATATATACAGTAAATATAAATAAGTCCTTAATTAAAATCGAAGTTTTTTAAATTTCGATGGAATGCATAAAATTGTTTAGTAAAATAATGATAATTTGGGATCATTCGCGATATGAAAGCAATTTACAGGTGTTTTTATACTTTCTAAAC